ATATGCGATATTGAATATTCTAAACAATGATAAATTTTATCTGCTCTATTTTCACCAAGGCTGCTTCTATTCTCTTTGCATATCTTGACTGGCTATGGATAGGAGGTTACACAGTTACACCTTGGCCTTTACAAATCAATACTTGATATCTGCAATGATTGTTAAATGAATACTTATTTTATATTTCCTCTGTTTTTTATTAGCTTTTCCATTTTGACCGGAAACGTATGCCAATGCACAACTTTCATGTGCTGGTTAAAAATAATTTGGTTATTATAGGGTATGTGAATAGTGTATAAAGTCAAGTGGTGCAAGTATTTAAAAACAGAGCGAGTATATGAGTGATAATGATGCTTAGATATCTTTTTTAAAAACAAAGAGAGTATATGAGTGATCAATGGTCATTGGATATCTTATTTACCTTAACCATCCATAGAAATAAATCCCCATAGATTTGACCTATCAGTTGGTAATATTAATTGTGAAGAAATATCTTTGCTAGTGTCAGATATTGCTTTAAAGCTCAATTAGGTCTTATCTCTCTGTAATATCTGGTTTTAACCTTTAGAAAGATTTCTCATCTACATTTTGTGTACAATTTATAGCATTTGATAATCTTGAAGCTTAATTATAACCTCTCTCACTTTTTTTTTTTTTTAAATGAAAAGGTTTAATTAAATCTCGGGGGGAGAATCTTTGCTAGTTTAAATGTAAATAATTAAATATGTTGTGAACTTATGATTGTTTGGCTAGCTGTTTCTGGAGAATATTAACTACTTGAGAACTCGCCTTACTTTCTGTTCCGAGGAACAGAAACATACACTGACCTGTTGGAAACCTTCCTTGCAGTTATCTGTACAGAGAGCAAAAATATTCTAATCAGACACTTCTATAAGCATGCAGAGGAGAAGGTACCAGTTTGATTAGTATATTTGGCTGATTTCCGTGCTTTTATGCATGTATACCAAAAATGATTTTGGCCTTCTTTTTTCTTGGATGGATGCAGCTGAGGCCCAAGAGAGCTGCTTCAGAACACCTTGCGCCTGAGAATGGAGCCAAGCATCTGAGAGCATCTTCCTCAGGAACTCCTCTATAAGTTATTGCCAGATGAAGCATTTTGATCATGTTAATAAAGCCATGTACATAATTTTTATAAAACAATGATGTTGTAGATGTGATAGTTATATTCCAGACTGTTTTGATTTGTTGGTAATTAATAGGGTAAGGTCCTTGAGAGGGTACAGGTGTTCCCTCGATGTAGGGTGATGAAGAATTGATCCCCATTCCAGGGTTCAGGAAGATGAGCTACTAAATCGCTGTTTTCTTCCAGTTTCCTTGACAGAGTCTCACCGAGGAGCAAAACTTGTAATGCTTGTGGCGTGTACAGTCAGTGTGCATAATCAAATAATGTAACTGATCTATGTCGTTTATGCGCTTTTTAAGCGTACACATTGTATGATTTGTACTTTCCAACAGTCGCTACTTGGCGCCTGTGTTAGCTCTTTGAGAAGCTTGTGTTAATAGCTGCTAGCAATAGTTGCAAATTTCGGGTACAGAATAATGTATTGATTGCATTTACAATTTTAACAGCATTTTTCACTTTGCTGGTGTTTGCCTTTGGGCTTTGTCTATCACTTTTTTTACCACAAAATATTAAAAGCTTACTATGATTGTTTTGATGCATGTGACTTAACCCTACTGTAATTTATGCTTTTTGAAAAGAAATAAATGGAAGAAAAACGCTTTCTTTTGAGCTTTTATGATAGATATGGAATTATGGAATCAACCAAGTGTCAAATAATCAAAGGTTTTCATTCTATGTTTATACCTTTACTAATTTAACTTAATCTTATGATCAATTAGCTATATGATTGATCACCAATATAGTACATTGTAAATACGATTTTCTTATGAAGAGGGTCTCTTAATGTTATTTTTTTCTTACCTATAAAAAATATAGTATGTACATACATACACATTTCTTTATTTCATGTCGAGCTATTTTCTACATTATTACGAGAAAAACAAAAACACGTATGGTATTGGATCCTTGAAATCAATATGACCCTCAGGTTTATTCTGGAAATGCCTCCTTCACACAAACAGGTCATGATTTTTGTACCTAAATATTGTAACTTTCTATAAATTGCAATTGAAAAATATGAACCCAAAATTATGAAGGCCAAATTAATATTAAAATTCTGAAGAAATAGAAAAGGACCGACACTCTACGAAAATGGATAGTATCATCTTCTTCAAATTAAATGAAAGATCAGATAATAAATACTGACACAAAAAAATAGAACCAGTGGCTGAAAAGAAATAGAGCAAATTATGACATAAAATAAGAACCAATTTTCCCTCCCTATAGGCAAGAAGGACCTTTGCAACATTAATGGGGGCAACAAACAGACATACCAACCTAACATTTTTTTTTTTTGGGGGGGGGGGGGGGTTAGAAATTCATACAATATTAAAAATTCCAACAAGATTTTTGGCCAATCAGATAAATACTCTCTTTATTATTATCCGTTTTTCACATTTATCAATGCATAAACTTGATAATTAATCTAACCATTATAAAAACTTAATTATTTGCTTAAAAATAGATATGGAGACACATCAGCCAATACCTTGCATGATTATGTTTTTCCTTACACACAACTTATCAAACATTGTGATTATGCAAATGATGTCAGTAATCAATATAATACGATTAATAAAAGAGTAGAGAAAGTATACCATGTTTATGTAAAAACGTTTTATGTGTATCGTAATCTATTAATTAAATTCGAGGGAGTGTATTTTAATAATTTTGTGTAATGAAAAATAAAAGCCAATAATATGAATGAATGATGTACTTGTTATAAATTCACATGGTGTGTTTATTATAGGTCTTTGATAAGTCATACCTTTTTTGTGTATATGTGAAATATTGAGAGAAGTTTAAGGCAAAAAACTCGAAATAGTTGAGCATGTGATAGCACATGGAAATGGGCCTATTTCATGCTATCTAACTTTAAATTGGATTTTATAGTTGCACATGGATGATACAATATCCAACTTCCCACCAAGACACAAGTCCCTACTTTTTTTGTATACCACTTATTATGTAACGGTGCTTCCTTCTTATTTATTGTCACTATTTTACAAGATTGGTTACAAGATTTTATCACATACTTGTAAATTGACATTTGTCTTTAAATCTACTTGTAATTTCGTTTTTTCGGTTTCAGTTTCGGTTACCCATAAAAGTTTAATAGGTTTTCTAATTAATATTGGTTTATTAGTGTATGAAATTTTTCTGCATTGGTTGTTGTTATTGATATTTGATTATGTTTAGTGGTTTTTATTGTTAGCTTCTCTATATATGAGACTTTAATGTAAAATGAATCGTATTATTATTGGACAAAGTGAGTAATACTTTAATTTAGGTAATGACTGATACTTGAAGCACAATTTCAATTCCATAATTTAATAGAGATTTCTTTCTTAACCCTTGCTTCTTTCCAAAGGGATAGAAAACGAATTAAACGGAGTTAGGAAATCATGTACAAAAGTCAGGGAACTCTAAACCCATACGGGTGTTATATAAGGCAATTCTTGAGGTTTTGGCGTCCAAGTTTAGAACTTCAAATTTTTTTATTTTTTATTTTTTTTTTTAAAAAAAAAAACCTTACTATAGATTTGTCGATTTTAGTTTGTTTTGATCCCTTAGCAAAGCACATATATATATATATATATATCATGTCTAATCATCGTCATATGCAAACATAATATAACTAGAAAATATCTTTAGAATCAGTTATCTTTTAAGGTTATAGTTGTGCACACATTGCGTGCATAGATTTACAAGCAAAAGCATAATAAACATTTGTAATAGTTTGTCTAAATAATTTTATTAAGAGGAAAAAGACAATTAAGATATTAAATGAAATTATATTTGTGTGGGTTAAAGAAAGTGTCCCTTGAGGATAGTTGTTGAGGATTGATCAAGGTATGAAGTGATGGTGTATGCACATGATACCTTTGAAATTGCCAATTGTGGTCTTTCAAATTGAGATATGGTTGGGAGTTAACTTACATGTTCCAAGTGGGAGCCTACTTCCCTACTTTCCGAAAGCCTCAACTCACAAGTCACAACACAATCCTTTTGGATTATATATGCATTATTATTATTATTATTATTATTATTATTATTATTATTATTATTATTATTATTATTATATGGAAAAATGTGACTTATCGTCCTTCCTTCCTTAATATATACCCTTTGTTTATGTTAAAAGATCATTTTAACAAAAAACTTAAGCTTATGATTGAAATCTAGACCAGGATTGATTTATATACTCTATCAGCGTACAATAAGAAATAGAAAGAACTAGTATCATCAAGTTATAAGTGAGACATAAAACAAATTTATTACTTTGTATTAGACAAAATGATATGTTTAATTTCATTAAGATATAAGAAAAATCCCCCTTAAACTAATTAACATCACTAAAGTGCATGTGTTTGATTGAGTGTTGACAAAAGATGTATTGAAGTTAAGTACGAGAGTCACACTCGAAATTGTATTTGATCTATTTGTTGCAAAGTTTTTGAGTATTAAATTTAATGTTAACTACTTTGTAGTATGTGTTTTATACTATGTAGCATATTTTTGTAGGAAAAAATGTATCTTTCTCCGATTAAAAACGAGAATAATCAAAACTTTGTCATAAAGAATGAATGTTTTGTATTTCTTTGTGTTGAATTGAAGGCATTGCCCATGTTTTTGTAAAATTACTTGAGTTATAAATATTTTAAAAACTATTAAAATAAACATATGATGCTAATATGGTGTTCATATTTAAATTTGAACAAACCAAAAAGATATTTCTTACTAAAAGACCATAATAAATTGCTAAAATGAAGGACAATTTGGTCAAACGTCACTTTCACAATTTATAAAGTTTGTAAATACCATAGATCATATATTGCCTATAAATACCATCTCATTTCACAAAAACTTACATCCAACACACTCTCATACACATCCTTCTTTGAAAAAAAAAAACCCAAAAAATCTCCTTTGTTTCCTTAAGAAATGGCAATGTCAAGGAACCTTAGTCTTTTGCTTTATGTCACTTTGATGCTTATTGTATTGACAGCAAACCAGGTACGTTACATTAAATTACTAGCTATCACATAACTTAATGCAACAATCCCTACTTTCCTTTTTAGTCGTGCACATAAATATTTTTTTAATTGTCTATTCTCTCGTTACAAATTCTACTAAATTAGTGACCGCTAAATACTGTCACTAATCTCGTAGTTTCTTATAGTGATATACAATATAGAACGTTCTTTCATTACGTACTTATACTCCTTGTACACTAATATACAGAATTATATTAAAGTTTAATGTGTGTGTTTTTTTTTACATTTTACAGGCTTATTGTCAATCTTCTCAACCACAAACCAAAAGTGGCCACTCACTGGTAAGTGCTAACAACACTAACAATCCATATAATTTCGTATTAAAGTTGAGAGAAATGGTGAGTGAAACTTTATACTACCTTCGTTAAGTTTTAGTTGCAACTTTGGGGCATCATTTGTGAGATATAAAATATTCCAAAGTTACTGCTAATATTTAACGACTAATTTAACACTATTGATCTCAATGCATAAAAGTGGATAATTTCTTAGAAGGACGTTTCTTTTGCTGATTAAATGTAGAATTTTTCTTTCTTTTTTCAAAATTATTTTGTATGTGAACTTTTATGACATTTAATAGAGAATGACCTTTTTACACAATTATGTATATGTTGGTTGGAAACTTGGCTAAAATACCCATCTAACCATATCCTGAAAAGGAACAAAATTAAATTACTCATTTCAACTTTTTTTTTGTAATTTATATGCAGTACGGCGCGTCACAAGGAAGCCTCCATCCTCAAGGTAGGTTTCCATCAAATCTTTGTGACACTAGCTAGATTTAAAAGTGTTAGACATCATATTAGTACCTATTGATAACACATGTCGACTACACTAGCACGTATATCCTATAACAAATCTTATACTTGGTACGTGTTAGTGTAGTCGACTATCACTCACATAAGTATATATATTTATGATTTCGTATCTGTATCTGTAACTGTATCCATATTTGTGACCATATATACTTACGAACATAATATTAATGGCATTACAGAATGTGGACCACGGTGCACAATGAGATGCTCAGCCACAGCATACAAGAAGCCGTGCTTGTTTTTCTGCAACAAATGTTGTACAAAGTGTCTGTGTGTCCCACCTGGTACGTACGGCAACAAGCAACTATGCCCTTGCTACAACAACTGGAAGACCAAAAGAGGCGGCCCTAAATGCCCTTAATTATCTCAACTACTCTTATAACTAAGTATTTATTATTGCTTCTACTTCACTAGTTGTAGTAGCTAGTAGTAGTAGTAGCACTAGTAGAATAGTACGTACTTCCTTCAAACCTAACTACATATTTTAAGGTCGTTTTTAGGATCTACTACTACTATTATTACCCAAGAAATGATGGAACCATGTAACTAAGGTGTGGTTCATTCTATTTTATTGATGCATCGATTAATCTACATGATGTAATTCGATTATATTGTAATGTATGTTTTACGAATTATATGCAATATACTACTATAATGTAATGAAATTATCCAAGCTCAGTACCTGTATTACATTTCGATGTAAGAGTTCTCATTTTCGTTTTTACCTTGGAGTTCCATAATTGTCTGTATTATTAGTGAATGCAATAGAGATTAGTAGATTACAACAGTGGCGGATCTTGGCCGAAAATATTAGAGGGGCCGAGATTTGAATCTTTTACCTCTCGCTCAAAACTAATCACTATACTCCAATAATTTATAAGTTAAATTAGGTTATTTATTTACATTAACTAATTAATTACACAAAGTTACATGGGGTTGGGCCTGGTAAAAGGTCCCCCTCTCGGATTATTATCTATCTAAATGAGTTCAATGTAAGAGTATAATCACTATAATGATATTTCCAAGGATTCAAGTAGACAAGTATTCTCCTGAAAATATTTAGAGGCAAAATTTTGAGAATAGTGAAATTGGGTAGGAACAAGGGAACAACCACCCAAACAAATTCAGGAACATATGACATTTTAGGCCCATGGACTATACTTTGGGTTTAAATAAAATAAATTCAGTAACAAAATCACAAAATATGCAACACTAATAGTTCGGGTCTCCATCAAATTGGGCTGGGCTGACAGTAATATAAATCTGGGCCTTGTACAATAAACTTGAATTGTTGAATATTGGGCCTTCACAAATCACAAGCTTTGTACTGTAATTCACAACTTGGGAAATATTGCAAGAACTCCTTTAGTCCTGATTCCTGAATCAGCTCAGGGCCAAATCAGCAGCAAGAGAACTGTCAAAGATCAAGGTTTGAGATAAAAAGGATGCCGAGTTTTCGCTGGATGCTGTTCAGACAGTCTTGACTAAGTTCCGGGTGAAAAGAGTTGCCTACATTCAGAGGAGGACCTTTCACCGGGGCTATTTGGGGCCCGGCCCTTGGTAAATTATTGTAATTAATTAGTTAATAAACTTAAATAACCTTGTATTACTTATAAAATATTGGAACATAGTGACTAGTTTAAAGCGAGAGGCAAAAGATTCAAATCCCGGCCACTTTAATATTTTTGGTCAAGATCTGCCACTGCCTACATTCCATGAAGAAAGATCTAGTGGAGTGTAGGTTGATCCACTAGGAGTATTGGCCTATCCATCCACATACATGCAGAGAGTTAAGAACCAGCAAACCTTGTGTATGTAACCTGCACACCTAAAGTGCAGGGTGTCTGAGCAATAGAACAGAAATTTGTGGCTAATTATCATATACAATCGCGATATCTAGCATCACCATTGATGATTAACATAGCAGTTTTCAGGTCTAATATAAGCGCGGTTTATTTGTTATTCTGTCATGGTTGATTATGCAGAAACGCATTTTTTTTTTCCCACAGAATATGGTGTTAGCAATTTGACATTGTAGTATGGCAACCAAGAAAATGTTAATAGGAGTAACTTACTCAAATTGATACAATATACACACCCAAAAACACAAGAAACCAAAAAAAAAAAAAAAGGAATAAAGAAGGCAAACCCAATGCTAAAATAAAAGATCATAAAGAGGTTGCTTCCTCATATGATTTACTGGTATACATCTGCTAGCTAACAAAACTATTCATACAAAGATTGAAAACAAACTAAACCAACAACACACTATCAAATCGTATCGATTTCACCTCCTACACCTCCATGCTGATACTGAAAAAAGGGGGCGATCTTGCCAGCAGATAACAACACATCCATTCTCTTCCTTAATCCTATAACCATCACAACTACACCCTTGGAGCAATCGCCGTGCTTGCAACATTCCCATATAGCTTAAAGGAATACTTCCAAATCCAGCTATATCGAGCCTTTGCATCCACCTATCGAGCTTCTCATGCCTTTCTCTTCTTTCCCCTCCTTCACACGCGATTATGTTCTTGATCTCTTCCCCTAGAAGCATCTTCTCTACTTTCCTTCTCTCAACTGATGCTCTTGGTAAGGTACTCTCTAAGCAGTCAAACAATGCAGCATAAAAGTACAATGCCTCAGACAATCTTTCCATCAGTCCTGAACCATTATGATTTGAATCTTGCTCGGTTATCACCATAATCTTCGGTGATAACCCCCACAAAGAAGCAAGAAAACCATCCATCTTAGCTGAAGCATTGACCGAGGTAGGTGATGATGAAGCAGAATCATTACTCGGGCTACTACGCCTATTAGCATTTCCTCCATTAGCCCCATTTACATGATTAAACAATCCTAAAGACGAACTTTTCCTTAGAGTTTCATCATCAGTGGCCAAGAGGGTATGAAGCTGCAGGACTGAGCTTATAGCTAACGCCTCACCGGTCTTAACACGAAGCTTTTCGACATCAAGATTCTCCAATTTGCACACTACAGGATTAAACTGAAATGGCAAATCCAACTTCTCAGCTTCATCAGTTAACCTATGAGCCACTTGTTCTAACACCTCTTTCTGTTGATGAACACCAGTTATTCTCAAATGAGGCGGTCCTTCAGGCCTTGCACTCAAGGCCTGAATAAGGGCAATCCATTGTGCAGGTTCTGATGCATTAAGATCAATAATATGAACCATCTTTTCACCATCCATTGCTTCAAGAATGGATTGATTCGTTACCACGAAAGCGAGCTTTAAGAAGGGAAACAGCTCAAAATACAGCTTCCTAGCAAGAATTTCCTCTGAAACAACAGGCATTCTAGTAAACTGAAGGGCTCTATATATACCAGGCCATGATTTAAGCACCCTTTCAGAAAGGGATTCAGCAAAATAAGCAGCAATTCGCTGCATTGTATCGCCATCAGGCGCGGCGAGGTGAGAGATTTGCTCTAGGGCTAAGTTTGCATTGTCTAGGCTACCATTAGAGACATGGTTTGCACAAGCTAACAACAAATGTATCAAATAAAGACCCCTTTCTTCAGGTTTCAATTCTCTAAGCCAAGGATGTGATGAACCTATATTTGGTGACATTCTAGAGAAAAATTGAAGGGGTGAAGATGAAGTTACTGATGATCCATCATCTTGAAGCATTGGTCCCATTAACAATTACACCCCCAAAACCCCACAAAAATTTTATCCTAATTCAATCAAGCAATCCCAAAAAAAAAAGGGATTTTTTAATTATGGATAAACTATCAAAATCACAGTAACCCAAATCAATCAAACAAATAACAAACTATATGAAATGGGATTTAACAGGTGAAATTCAACAAGGGTTTTTGATAGAATAAAGAGCATGAACTAAAGCAAGAAAAAACAGAAACTTCTGAAACAAGATAGATCAGATATTACCATGAAAAGAGAAAAAAACAGAGGAAACTACCAAGAAAAGCTTGAAAGATGTGAAATTTGATTGAATAACACCAAACCATTTCTGGGTTTTGCAATTCAATCAAAACCCATAAAAAGCCCCCTAAAAAGTTGACAACTTTTTGATCAAATAGCTCGAATTTCTCTATCTAAGCCTCTGTTTTCTCTCTAAAAAATGGGTTTTTGATTGTAATAAGTTGGAAAAAGGAGGAAGAAGAGAGAGAAATGAAGAAAGGAAGTGAAGCTTTGAAGAACTCCACAACAAATGGGGGGGGTGGGGGGGTAACGTTAGTAGACAATGCGTGGTAGTAGTTTTTGTCGTCAACTCATTTGTTTTCTTTCTTTCTACTCTTTTATGAAAAAAATAAAAGGAAAAAAACAGAGGAATATGGAATTTATGTGAAGGAGAGCCTCATTTTTTGTTGTTTTTTTGTTAACCTTTTTCTTTTTTGACAAATAATTTGGAGTTTTGTTAATTTTTTATTTGTTTGATTAATTAAAAACTTTATACATTACATACTGTACATAAATTTTTTACAATTACTACTGTTATTTTTACTTGCTCATTTTATGTTTGTTTAACCTTGTTTTAACTTTTTTACTCTGTATTTATTTAGACAAAATACTTATTATAATAGGTATTGTACTTCATAAAAATTTTCTATTGGACTTTTAGACAATATCACACAAGTGAGATGAGTTTAGAAAAATTAAGTTTATATAACATAGGTTTAGTCGTTTAGATAATTTCATACGGAGTATAAGTTTAGGTAAATTGAATAATAAAAATTAAATCAGAGAGTCGAGATAGGGCCTTATAAGATATTGTACGACTTCAATTGAAATTAGTCGAAATTTTGAATTGTAATGCTTTGCCTTATTCTGCTTATTTGACCTAACCTGAATTCATTTTCTAATCTAAAATAACTTGATTATGTGATTTGATTTAATTCTGACTTTATGTATGCGCTAATTCAAAGAAAAATATACGCTTTATTGAAAATGGATCTTATTATATTCATATTTGTGCATTTCCTAAATATGTAATTTGAATAAATAAATTTCACTACTTACATTATAATTAAATACATACTTTCTTAGTATTTACTAATGATTATATATATATATATATATAAATAAAAAAATAAAAAGGTAATCCAAAGTGAGTATAATATAGTTTTGTCTAATGGGAAAAAGATATGGTAGTGGCTTAAATTTCAATGGATGGTTTCGTCTTAACCTGAAGTGAGTTTGGGAATCAGGGAAAAGAGCCAAAGAAAAAGGCTCCCCAAATTTATTCCCAATCAACACTTGGCTCCAAACATGCCTTAACAAAGACAAACAAAACACTCACACTTTCTCTCTCTAATTTTTCTCTCTCTAAACCCCTAATTTTGTTTGTTAGTGGGGTTTTGTGTTTGGAATAGGGAATTTACATGGAAGCTCACAATTAATAAAATTTAAAAAAATAAATAATTAAATTGGTCTTTTTGTTTGAAAGCCAACACACCAAAGACACATACAAATTGGTATTTATCCCATTCTCCTTATTTAAGACAAACGGGACAAGGTGGTTAAGGATACTTCCAAAAGTAGATACCACTTTTATCTTTTTTTGTGGACTCTCTTATTTTGTCCTTTTACCCAACCACTTTTTTTTATTTTTCAAGCCTTTTTTCTTTGTATTCAATTTTATTTTGGGTACAATGTATATGTGATTTAATGCAACCAGAGAATTAGTTTTGATTCAAATCTTTTCTTTTG